CTATAGCTGTACAACAAATTACTCCAAAACTTTACCATTAAAAACAATGAATATTTATTATGTCATAGTTTCTGTATGTCAAGAATCTGGGAGTAGTTTGGCTAGGTAGTCCTGGCTCAGGTCTCTCATGGTTTTGCTGAGGAGAGGAGCATTGGCCAAGATGGCTCACTCTGAGCTCATGTCCTCCCACAGGCACACCAAAATGACAACTATTTATAGAGCAACTATCTATAAGAACGACCTGAAGACTAGCAGAAAAGATTTTCTACTACGAAAGATATAAAGAAGGAACCACAACAAGTCTAGTAGGAAGGGCAAAGATGCAGTATAGTCAAGACCCGTACCCCTGGGTAGGTGAGCCACAAACAGGAGGATAATCACAATTGCAGAGGTTCATCCCAACGAGTGAGGGGTATGAGACCCACATCTGGTTCCCCAGCTGAGGGGTCATGCATGAGAAGAGGAGCCCCCAGAACAGAGTCGGAGGGCTCTAGGAAACAGAGGCTCTGCTCTTAAAGGGTGTGTGTAAAATCTCACACTCTGAGTCTCAGCAGAGAGGCAGTAATTTCAAAGTGGGTCAGACCCACTTGCTGATCTTGAAGAGACTGCTGGAGAAGCAGGAGGCAACTGGGACTTCCCCTGGGGATGCAAACACTGGCAGCAGCCCATTTATGGGAGCTTGTTCTACCATGAGGACACTGGTGCTTAGAAGCATCATTTAGAAGTTCTCCCTCTAGCCCATTAGCACTGGGGGTTTACCCACCCACTAGCAGGCTAGCACCAGCCCTGGGAACCCCCAGGTCATGCAGCCAGCTGCTCTGGGACCCAGTCCTCCCCATTAGCAGCCCGACAACCACCACACAAGGACGGGCCTGGCAGCCAACCAGGCCAGGGGTCACCTCTGCCTACTAGTGTACTCTCAGCAGTTGGCCCTACCACAGTAGAAGGGTCCATGCAGCCCACATAGTGAGCACTCCTAGAACATACAGCTCTGGTGACCAGGAGGAATGTGCTGCTGGGTCCCAAAGGACATCTCTTATATAAGGCCACTTCTCCAAGATTAGGAAACATAACTGACCTACCTAATACATAGAAATAAACCCAGAGAATTAGGCAAAATGAGGAGACAGAGGAATATGTTCCAAACAAAGAAACAAGACAAAACCCCAGAAGAAGACCGAAGTGAAGTGGAAATAAGCAACCTATCCGATAAAGAGTTCAAGGTAATGGTCATAAAGATGTTCAGTGAACTTGGGAGAAGAATGGATGAACACAGGAATAAGTTTAACAGAGTCACATAATTAAAGAAGAAACAAACAGGGCTGAAGAATACAATAACTGAAATTAAAAATACACTGAAGGAATCAACAGTAGATTAGATGATACAAAGAAATGGATCAGCGAACAGGAAGAAAGAGTAGTGGAAATTACCCAAGCTGAAAAGAAAACAGTATTTTTAAAAAATGAGGATGGGCTTCCCTGGTGGCGCAGTGGTTGAGAGTCTGCCTGCCGATGCAGGGGACATGGGTTCGTGCCCTGGTCCGTGAGAGGCCCGTGTACCGTAAAAAAAATAAATAAAAATAAAAATAAATAAAAAATGAGGATAGTTTAAGAGACCTCTGGGTCAACATCAAGCATACTAACATTACATTATAGGGGTCCTGGAAGAATAAGAGAGAAAGGGGCAGAGAACTTATTTGAAGAAATAATAGCTGAAAACTTCACTAACCTGATAAAGGACACAGACATCCAAGTTCAGGAAGCACAGAGAGTCTCAAACAAGATGAACCTAAAGGGGTCACACCCAGATACATTATAATTAAAATGGCAAAGATTAAAGATAATGAGAGACTCTTAAAAGCATCAAGAGAAAAGCAACTAGTTACATACAAAGGAACTCCCATAAGACAATCAGCTGACTTTTCAGCAGAATCTTTGAAGGCCAGAAGGAAGTGGCACAATACACTCAAAATGATAGAAGGAAAAAACTTACAACCAGGAATACTCTACCCAGGGGAATTCCCTGGCAGTCCAGTGGTTAGGATTCTGCGCTTCCACTGTAGGTGGCATGGGTTCGATCCCTGGTCAGGGAACTAATGTCTCACAAGCCACATGGCACAGCCAAAAAAAAAAAAAAAAAGAATACTCTACCCAGCAGGGCTATAATTCAGATTTGAAAGAGAGGTCAAGAGTTTCACAGACAAGCAAAAGCTAAAGGAGTTCAGCACCACTACACTGGCTTTACAAGAAACATTAAAGGGACTTCTCTAAGCAGAAAAGAACACAACTAAAATATGAAAAATATGAAAGGAAAAATCTTATTGGTAAAGGCAAACATACAGTAAAAGCAGTAGATCAACCACTTATAAAGCTAGTAGGAAGGTTAAAAGACAAATGAATTAAAATCATCTATATTCACAATAAGTAAAGTATACACAAAACAAAAAGATGTAAAATATGATGTCAAAAAAATTAGACATGGGGGAAGGAGTAAAAATGCAGTGTTATTAGAATGCGTTAAAAATTAAGAGCTCAACAACTTAAAATAATCATATATATATATATATATATATATATAGAGAGAGAGAGAGAGAGAGAGAGGGAGGGAGAGAGGGAGTTATAGTTAGTTATATGAACTTCATGGTAACAACAAACTAAAAATCTATGATACACACACAAAAAGAAAGGAATCCACACATTATACTGAAGATAGTCATCAAATCTTAAAGGGGAGAGAGTAAAAGAAGAAGCAAAAAATAACCATAAAACAACAAGAAAACAATTAACAAAATGGCAATAAGTACACACCTATCAATAATTACTTTAAATGTAAATGGGCTAAACGTTCCAACAAGACACGTAACAGCTAAATGGATACAAAAACAAGACATATATACACACACACACACACACACACACACACACACATATACATATATACTGCCTACAAGACTTTCACTTCAGATCTAAAGACACACAGACTAAAAGTGACGGGATGAAAAAATATATTCCATGCAAATAGAAACAAAAGGAAAGCTGGGGTAGAAATACTTATATTAGATAAAAGACTTTAAAACAGAAACCGTAACAAGAGATAAAGAAGGACATTACACAATGATAAAAGGATCAATCCAACAAGAAGACATAATGATAAAAATATATGCACCCAACATAGGAGCACCTAAATACATAAAGAAAATATTAACAGACATAAAGGGAGAAATTGACAGTAACAGAATAATAGTAGGGGACTTTGACACCCCACATACATCAATGGACAGATCATCCAGACAGAAAATCGATAAGGAAACACTGGCCTTAAATGACATATTAGATCAGATGAAGTTAATAGCTATATATAGAACATTCCATCCAAAAGCAGCAGAGTACACATTCTTTCAAGTGCACATGGAACATTCTCCAGGATAGATCACATGCCAGGCCACAAAACAAGTCTCAATAAATTTAAGAAGACTGAAATCATATCAAGCATCTTTTCTGACCACAATAGTGTGAGATCAGAAATCAACTACAAGGAAGAAACTGGAATAAACACAAACAGATGGAGTCTAAACAACATGGTACTAAACAATCAATGGGTCATTGAAGAAATCAAAGGGAAAATTTAAATTTAAAAATACCTGGAGACAAATGAAAATGAAAACACAATGATTCAAAATCTACATCTACTGGAACTTCCCTGGTGGTGCAGTGGTTAAGAATCTGCCTGCTAACACAGGGGATACAGGTTCGAGCCCTGGTCCGGGAAGATCCCACATGCCATGGAGCAACTAAGCCTGTGCGCCACAACTACTGAGCCTGTGCTCTAGAGCCCACGAGTCACAACTACTGACCCTGTATGCCACAGCTACTGAAGCCTGTGTGCCCAGAGCCCGTGCTCTGCAACAAGAGAAGCCACCACAATGAGAAGCCTGGGCACCACAACAAAGAGTAGCCCCCGCTCACTGCAACTAGAGAAAGCCCGTGCACAGCAATGAAGACCCAATGCAACCAAAAATAAATAAATAAATTAATTAATTAAAAATCTAAAAAAAAAAAAAATCTATATCTACTTATCTATTTATCTATCTACAATGGAATATTACTCAGCCATAAAAAAGAATGTAATCTTGCCATTTACAACAACATGGATGGGCCCAGAGAGTATTATGCTAAATGAAATAAGCCATACAGAGAAAGGCAAATACCACATGATTTCACTTACCTGTGTAATCTAAAAAACAAAACAAATGAACAAATATAACAAAACAAAAATAGACTCATAGATACAGAGAACAAACTGGTGGTTGCCAGAGGGGAGGTGAAGGGGGGAATGAGTGTAATAGGTGAGGTAGATTTAGAAGTACAAACTTCCAGTTATAAAGTAAACAAGTCTTGGGGGTGTAATGTAGAGCATAGGGAATATAGTTAATAATATTGTAATAACTTTGCTGGTGACATGTGGAAATTAGCTTTATTGTGGTGATAATTTTGTGATGTATAAAAATATTGAATCACTATGTTGTACACCTGAAACTAATACAAAATTGTAAATCAATTATACTTCAATTTAAAAAAAAGATGTTTCCTGGGGCTGCAGACATTTGAAAGCTTGAGTGAAGCAGGAAGATCCTCTTCCAAGAGAGCTCATTCACATGACTACTGGCAAGAGATCTCTGATCCTCACTGGCTGTTAGTGAAGAGCTTAAGTTCCTCACCATATGGGTCTAACCATTTGGCTACCTAAGTGTCCTCATGACATGGTACCTGGCTTATTCCAGAGTGAGTAGACCAAGAGAGAAGCTGCAATGCTTTTTGTTTGTTTGTTTGTTTTTTTGGGTTTTTTTGCAGTACGTGGGCCTCTTACTGCCGTGGCCTCTCCCGTTGCGGAGCATAGGCTCCGGACGCGCAGGCTCAGCGGCCATGGCTCACGGGCCCAGCCGCTCCGCGGCATGTGGGATCTTCCCGGACCAGGGCATGAACCCGCGTCCCCTGCATCGGCAGGCGGACTCTCAACCACTGCGCCACCAGGGAAGCCCCTGCAATGCTTTTTATGACCCTGTCTTGGAAGTCACACATCATCACTTCTGTCATCATGTATTTGTGAGAAGCAAGAAACTAAGTCCAGCTCACACTCAAGGGCAGAGGAATTAGACTCCACTTTCTGAAGGGAGGAGTGTCAAAGAATTTGTGGACATATTCTGAAAACCATCACACCATGTGACCTGGTCTAATAAAATTGGTGATGTGTGACTTCTGGGCAGAAGCTTTAAGAGCCAGTGAGTGGTTTGCCTGCTTCTTTTCCCTCTTCCATAAAACAGACAATACTTCAGATAGAAGACCTGGATCCTGGAGTAAAGATGATGTGGAGCAGAGCTTTTATTGTCTACTGTCAAGTATGTTAGGCATAGTACAAAGTACTTAACAAATAGAACCATATTCAATATTTATAGCAATGGTAAATATTATTATACATACTTCATAGAAGGAACAGAACTATCATCCTTCAACTTTTCCTGATATTCTTGACATGATTCACTTTGCCTTGTCTATTTTTTTCTTTTTATCAAAAGCACTTTTCACCTTCTAACAAACTGTAGTCAGTATTCATTTTGTTTATTGTCTGTCTAGCCTTACAAAAATTTAAGTTCCCTAAGGGTAGGGAGGGGAATTCCCTGGCGATCCAGTGGTTAGGATTCTATGCTTCCACTGCAAGGGCCATGGGTTCAATCCCTGGTCAGGGAACTAAGATCCCGCATGCCACGCAGTGGGGCCAAACAAACAAAAAACCAACCAAACAAACAGAAACAAGGGCAGGGATCTTTGTTTTGTTCACTGATGGTATCCCAATGTACAGAACAGTGCTGGAACATAAATATTTACTGAAGGTGGATTTTTCTGTCACAATCTTCTCCCTGGAAAGTGTTCCAGTTTGTCTACAAATTTTCTAATGATAATACTCCAAGAGAGGTCTGACAAGCCCAGGTTGTTTCTTACTAGTTCTGTTCTCAGAAGTTAACCATATTTCCAAGATCTCACTGAAGTCTCCAATAAATCCACTGATTATGACCAATATTCTCATGCTATCCTCTGGCTGTCATGGGTTCTTTTTTTTTTTTTTTTTCAAACTTTTTGTTTTTTTGGCTGTGCCATGCAGCATATGGGGATCTTAGTTCCCCGGCCAGGGGTTGAACCCTGCAATGGAAGGGTGGAGTCCCAACCACTGGACCGCCAGGGAAGTCCCCACGGGTTCTAAGTTGTGACAAATCACCAAAGATAAGCTTGTCCTATCTATCCTACTGGAAATTCCTACACTATCTTGGGTCTCTCTTTATCACCCTTATCCCTTCAAAATCACAAAATATCTGTCCTATTTTTATTCCTCTAGTGTTCTAAAAATGGCTTTTTGCTCTTTTCTTCCGAGGTAACATTTGTGCATTTTAACAAATACCTTGATCCCATATTGTCAAACTAATGGTGAGAATTTTAGAAAACAAGGCAGGTCAGTGAAGAAGGTATTACTGGGCAGCCATGCCACTGTGGAAGAGACAAAATTGTTGCTGCCTGGCTTTCAGTCATTCTCGGGGAGCGTGCAATAAAAGTTTACAAACACATTTCTAAGTGTCATATAATGTACTTTTATGAAACGCAGTCTCTTTTATTCAATAAAAATTTTTTAACTAAACAATAAAGAAACATTAAACGCAAAACTTTTTTTCTCAGCCCATAAAACTCAGGAACAAAATCTGCTCTTTCTCCAAAAACAAATGTGTTAAATCTGTTTGCAAAAGGAACAAAGAGTAGAGAAAGCTGTGTTCTGTTCACTGATGCCTCTTAATTACTATGTGTGGAACTATACTTACGACCTTATCTGAAGTTATACCAAGGAACAAAGCAACAGTAAAACAACATAGAAATGAAGTCAATGTGGTGGCATAAAAAGAAGAAATGATCAGAAGAATGAAGAGCTGGAATCCAGTTTCTGCTTTGCTACTATCTAGATGTATGACATATACAAACCACTTCACTTCTCTGGATCTCAATTTCTTTATCTGTAAAATGTTGAGATTAGAAAAGATGGCTTAGAAACTCTTCAGCTTTTTAATATTAACACAAAGAGGTATATACAGCTTTCTATTATGGAAGAATAGGACCAGTGGTGTGCTGGTAAATGTTTGATAAATACATAACTGTTTAATAATAACTGGCTCTCTGGTGGAAAAAAAAACTTTGTTGTGTTGTGCAACAAAACATTGGTGGGAATACTTCTACCATGGTCAGTTTTCAAGCTACCAATAGTTTAACAGCCTACTAGCAAAATTCCTGAAAATTTAACAATTAGCATTCAGAATCTAGTAAGAGCAACTCTTAACACACCACTAGATAGGACTCCATTTATTCATTTGCCTATTCATTCATTCAACAACACCCACTAAACATTTATTATGTGCAAGGAATACAAAGGAATACAAAAATGTGTAAAATATGGCTCTTGTCCCATGGGGTTTAGATTCTAGCAAACAGTAAAGGAATACAGACAACTCTAATGCTAGAGAGAACATGACAAATAACATCAAGAAAGCAGGCATAAGTGAAGTACTACAAAGTTTCAGCAGAGAAAGAGACTATTTTATACTGAGGTTATTGGGTGGAAGGGACCTTGGGGAAGGAAAAGAGATTTCTCAGAAAGAATAAGGCTATTTAAAGGTATTTTTTTGTTTGTTTAAAAGAGTTATTTAGGGACTTCCCTGGTGGTCCAGTGGTTAGGACTCTGGGCCTGCACCGCAGGAGGTACGGGTTCCATCCCTGGTCGGGGAACTAAGAAGCTGCAAGCCATGCAGCGCCATCAAAAAAAAAAAAAAAAGTTATCTAACAGTAGAGAAATAACACTGTATGTTGGGAAACCAAGAACCTGAGAAGAAATACTTAGAGGAAGCTAGAAATAAAGAGGCTAACAAGCGATTATACATGTGGGAGGATAATAAAAGCTACCAGGTCATGTGGCTACACCAAGAACAATCTTAAACTGGAATGAGTTTAACACCATCAAAAGGGAATTGGATGGCTTCCCTGGTGGCGCAGTGGTTGAGAGTCCGCCTGCCGTTGCAGGGGACACGGGTTCGTGCCCCGGTCCGGGAAGATCCCACATGCCGCAGAGCAGCTGGGCCCGTGAGCCATGGCCGCTGAGCCTGTGCATCCGGAGCCTGTGCTCCACAACGGGAGAGGCCACAGCAGTGACAGGCCCGCGTACCGCAAAAAAAAAAAAAAGGGAATTGGAGTACAATTTAGGAAGGAAGATATTAAGAGAGCCTTGGGTCATTTCAAAGGAACCCAACTTTAGGGGGCTTCCCTGGTGGCACAGTGGTTGAGAATCCGCCTCCCAATGCAGGGGACACAGGTTCGAGCCCTGGTCCGGGAAGATCCCACATGCCACGGAGCAATGAAGCCCATGGGCCACAACTACTGAGCCTGCGCTCTAGAGCCCACGAACCACAACTACTGAGCTCGCATGCCACAACTACTGCAGCCTGCGCACCTAGAACCCATGCTCCGCAACAAGAGAAGCAACTGCAATGAGAAGCCCGCACACTGCAACGAAGAGTAGCCCATGCTCGCTGCAACTAGAGAAAGCCTGCATGTAGCAACAAAGACCCAACGCAGCCAAAAATTTAAAAATAAATAAATAAATAAAAGGGGGGAAAAGTTGTCATATTTAAAGAAGGTATAATATCTGGGAACTGATCAGATCGCATCTGGAAGATGATATTTAGTTAATCTCTGAGCCCACTTTCTTATTTGTAAAATGGGGATAATTACAGTACCTATTTCACAGGGTTAGGAAAACAAGATAATATATTAAGGAGCTTAGAGGAGTGTTCAAAAGGAAGCATTCACTAAATATTAGCTATAATAATATAGCCTTAATTGAAAAATTATACTGTTCTCAAATATATGAAATGGTTACTTTTAAAAATTTAAGGTCCAAGGGCTTCCCTGGTGGTGCAGTGGTTGAGAGTCCGCCTGCCAATGCAGGGGACGTGGGTTCGTGCCCCGGTCTGGGAAGATCCCACGTGCCGCAGAGCGGCTGGGCCTGTGAGCCATGGCTGCTGGGCCTGCGCGTCTGGAGCCTGTGCTCCGCAACGGGAGAGGCCACAACAGTGAGAGGCCCGCGTACCGTCAAAAAAAAAAATAAAAATAAAAAAATTTAAGGTCCACTATCTAGTGGGCATTTTAATTTAATTTTTATTTTCTGAAAGTGTATTTTAAATTTCCAAAGGTGAGTTAAGTTCTAACATTCTAGGTATTGTTGAACAAATTAAGTCTTACTCTGTACTTTTTTTTTTTTTTGGCTGTGTTGGGTCTCCGTTGCTGTGCAGGCTTTCTTTAGCTGCGGCAAGCGGGGGCTACTCTTTTTTGTGGTGCACGGGCTTCTCATTGTGGTGGCTTTTCTTGTTGCAGAGTGCGGGCTTTAGTAATTGTGGCTCGTGGGCTCAGTAGTTGTGGCTCGCGGGCTCTAGAGCGCAGGGTCAGTAGTTGTGGCACACGGGCGTAGTGCGCCCGTGTGCCACAACTACTTCGCAGCATGTGGGATTGTCCCAGACCAGGGATCAAACCCGTGTCCCCTGCATTGGCAGGCAGATTCTTAACCATCGTGCCACCAGGGAAGTCCCGTTTGTACTTTTCAAGATCATAAAAACTCTCTTTATATCTCCTTCATCAGGCTTCCTCTAGATTTCATGCTATAATTTTGTTTAGATGTGTCATAAATTCTTTTGTTAATACTCATAAGAACACAGATATCAGTAACAATAGCAGTTAAGTTTACCAAATCTTTGGGGGTACTCCAGGGTTTTGGAAAAAATCTTTCCTTTTTATAAAAATATAAATCATTATGGTACTTCACTGGTGGCCCAGTGGTTAACACTCAGCACTTCCAATGCAGGGGGCCCAGGTTTGATCCCTGGTCAGGGAACTAAGATCCCACATGCCGTGCAGCATGGCCAAAAATTTTTAAAAATATATTATATATTATATATATATTTATATATATTTACATATATAAAAATCATTAAGGAACTCTTTCTTTGGAAGAAGACAGACTGTTTTGTTTTTACTTTACTGTTTACGTCTAACTTAAGCCTAAATTTAACAATGAAAATAGAATCTTCCTGGAGCATATGGAACTTTTTGTCTTTTCTAAACAAGGAATTATGGGAACATTTAATGACAAACATTCTCCTCACAATATGGTCAGTAAATCTCTGGCAACATTGATTTGGTGCCCATTAGAAGCAAAGAACAGCAATAATAAGATGTGGAAAATTTCAGAGGCAAAGATATAGTTGGTACTTTTAAAGTTCTTATAGTTTAATAGAGGAGACTGAATAATCCCTAATAAGTACACTGGAGCATATTCACTACTAGAGGGATTTAGCATGAAGCAGTTCTTCTTGAACATTTTTCATTGCAATTTAGCTTCTGGAGTAAGCAGAGGAAACGGGAGGGCCAGAATCAATAATATACCTAAGGTGACAGAGCCAGTAAGTCATAGATAGGGGATTTAAACCTAGGTCTCCTAATTCCATATATGAGATAGTCTCACAACATTAATTTTGAGGATAACATCTTTTTGAGATTCCAGAAGATCGATGACATTTGTTTTCACAATTTAAAAAAATCAGCCAGTAAGACTGATTAGAACTCAGAGGATAGCAATGCTCTAGTATCCCACCTTATTTCTCTCATTTTGCAAGAAGGCAGCAACTGTTGACACCCCAAATTAAATGCGATACTTAAAAAAATGGCCTAAATAGTTAGGGTTTTATTCCTCTGAAATATCTAGTGGTGTTATTTTCTAGTATTCTTCCAGGACTTATCTATAAAGAAAATTCATAATGTCATTTTATATCATAGGTCTGGATAGACACAAGATTTTCTTTCTCTCTTTCTTGCTCTCTCTCTCTATGTTTGATATTTTTAACGTTTATCAAGGTAATACATGTAAATACTTTAAGTCTTGTGGTTTAAAAAAAGTCATGTGGAACTACAAGGCTCATAACAAAACACAGCAGGAGTATATTTTAACACACACACAGACTTAAAAAAAAAAAAAAAGCCGTGGCCTCCCCAAAGCCTGAGATACTCTCCCAGACTCATTCACTGGCTTTTTTTCTTTGCATATTTACTAACATTTTTCTAAATTAAATATTTTTACTGCTTTCTTTTTGATTTGTAAACTTTAAACAGTACCTGATATAAAAGATAAAGATCCAACACTTTATGCTTTCCCTCCCTTCAGCCTCACAATATTGTTATATCACATTTAAATTAAATCAATGTTTCATATTAACCTTATTATGACTCTAAAAGTGTGGTTTACTTCTGGATCAATTGATTGTATTATGATTACATTTCCTTTCTTATGTAACTTTTTGTTTGTCTTGCAATTAATAATTGCCTCAGTTTTTTGTTTGCCAAATTTTCTGTATCATTATCACTAACTGTTCCAGACTCTCTAACAGAAATGTAGAAATGCCTTAACTATTTTCAGCACACCCAAACATGTCATATACACTAAGAGTTTTACTGGAAATACTCCCCAGGAGCACTCCTTCCCCTTTAGTCTGGACTACCCCTCACTGTACAGGTCTGCTGTAGAGCTATCATCTTAGGACTTCCTTTTACCTTTCTTAGGTTGATTCCCCTCTTTCCTAAAACCTCTATCTTTGTCATTCTTGTTTCAGTAGAGCACATCCTCCAGTAGTGTCCCAGGAAAAGCTTGAGGGTTAGTAAATTTTTTTGATCCTTGAATCTTTAATTGTGCCTCACACTTGATTGATAACATGACTTAGTATAGAATTCTAGGTTGAAAATAATTTTCTCTCAGAATTTTGAAAGCACTGTTTCATCGTCTTCTAACCACCAGTGTCAATGTTAAGGAATATGCTATTCTTATTACCTACTCTTTTATGAATAATCCATTCCCCTTTCCCTGCTCCCTCTTCACCTCCTATCAACAAGATTTTTGGATCTTCTCTTTATCCCTTGTCTT